CTAGTGGCTAAGAACCCAGGTGTTAGAGGCAGATATACCTGGGTTTGAACCCTGGCTCTATTCCTTACTAGTCACAGGCTTTTAGAAAATTATTTAACTTCTCTGCACTTCTGATTCTTTACCTGTAAATGGGAGCAATGATGACACGTGTAGAGGTCTTGTGAGGATTAAGTGAGATGAGACATGTAGAGAGGTGAAATGTTAACTTTATCTTAACTTGCTTTATCTGCAAAGACCCTATTCCCAATTAAGGTTACACTTCCAAGAACTGGGGAGAGGACTTCAATATACCATATATTTTCTTGGGGGAAGGGTCGGTGGTAGAGACACACAATTCAACCCATAACAGGACCTTGCCCCACTAGGTACTCCCTGGGTGAAAAATTAATGAGATTTTCTGTCCTTGCACCAACATCAAAAGCCATGATTTAAAAACTAAGAGGCTTTCATCTCTACTCAAGCGCAAACATAGTGGACTGAAGACATTTGGTCAATTTCAGAGGACAGCAAAGCTCATCAAGCTTTAGTACTATAGGAGGCACTTCAGAGACTTCTGTGAGTGACCTACCCATTTTACAGATGAGAAAACTGAGAGTAAGAGACATGATTTACGTGAACTCTCAGAGCTCATCAGGTTATAGACAAAAGTAGAACCCACATCTCTTTACTCCCATTTCATTATTCCATAGGTGTTGGTTTAACAAACCTTGTAACTGCCTTATTTGGGAGGCTATTTTAATTCATTTCTTCACCTTAACTTGTCTGTGTAGACATAACTTTGAACATACTCACTAAGAAAATATTTCTCAGAGACACCACTATATCCAATAAGCCTCTAAGCATAATAATCAGAACCAGTGGGTAAGGCATTCTAACAATCCCCAAACGTGTTTTTAACACTGTTATTGTTGTTTTAACATTGAATACACTTAGCCAGGAAATCCAAACTTCTTTCTGAAGCGTTCCAACTGTTGTGTTTATACCCGGTTGCCACACAACATTTTCTCCTACTGTGTTTTAGTTGGCAAGAGCTAGAGGACAAGTTTTTGTAGCCAAGTAGTCTCAGATAGGGAATCTTTCCAATCCCCAGAGACTTGGCACAGCCCCAGAATCAATAGTCACAGGAATAAGTGCCAGCACTCATCCTATCCAGGGCCTTAGCCAGCTGTGGACCAACCCCCTATTTAGACCCTGGAGCTGGATGGGAAGAACCAGCTGAAAAAATAGAGCCCTACAAAGGTTACAGATAAATAAGTAAAAGCTACTTTTTTTTCCATCAGAAAAAAAAGGGGAACCCTGAACAGAATATATTAAATTCTTCATTCACCCTCGCTCCCACCACCAAAAATATCGCAAACGCAGCCATGTCGCCAATCTCCTGAACTAAAAGTGAATAATCACATTCAATATTTTACTATTATTACATATTTTTCCGAACACAGAATATGGAATTCTGTCACCATCACAGGGTGTTTTCTATTTTTGTTACACAATTTCAAGACCGTGAAGTGAAAATACATATGATTTAAACGGCAATGTATAAATCTGGCATCTTTCTCCAAAGAATATATTATTCATTCATTTAGCAAACTTTGAGCATGGCAGCACAATGCTATGTCCTGGGATTCTTAGATGAATAAATCTGGGTCCCAGATGTGCTTACAGATTGTAGAAGAAAACATTGTGTACCACCTATGGTCCATTGTGACACTTGCTGTTAAAAAGACATATGGGGGGCCGGGCAGGGTGACTCACACCTGTAATCCCAGCACTTTGGAAGGCCAAGGCAGGGGGGTCACCTGAGGTCAGGAGTTTGAGACCAGCCTGACTGACATTTGAAACCCTGTCTCTACTAAAAATACAAAAATTAGCTGGGCATCATGGTGGGCACCTGTAATCCCAGCTACGCGGAAGGCTGAGGCAGGATAATTGCTTGAACCCAGAAGGCAGAGGTTGCAGTGAGCTGAGATCATGCCATTGCACTCTAGCCTGGGTGACAAGAGTGAAACTCTATCTCAAAAAAAAAATGTCATATGGGGGGCCAGGTGCAGCGGTTTATGCCTGTAATCCCAGCACTTTGGGAGGCTGAGACAGGCACATCAACTGAGGTCAAGAGTTAGAGACCAGCCTGGCCACCAAGGGCAAAATTCTGTCTCTGCTAAAAAAAATTACAAAGAAATTATCAGGGTCTGGTGGCACACGCCTATAATCCCAGCTACTTGGGAGGCTGGGGCAGGAGGATCACTTCAGTCCCCAAGGCAGAGGTTGCAGTGGGCTGAGATCGTGCCACTGCATTCCAGCCTGGATGACAGAGTGAGACTCCATCTCAAAAAACAAACTAACAAACAAAAGGCGTATAGACAGTGTTTTAGGGGATGATGTGAATAATTAAGTCTGCCTTAGAGGGAAACATGGAAGATGGTCAATATGCTGGGAAACGTCTGGTCTGACTGGTGTTTTAGAAAGATGACCAAGGTAAGAGTCAGGGTCAGGCCGGTAGGATGTGTATACTGTTTCCAGCTATCTATTTTACTGGTGAAGAAACTGAGACTCAGAAAATTGAACAATTAGCATATACTCGGGGCCCAGGCCTAGGCCATATTATATGACTATTTTAATTTTCCTTCAGCTATGTCCTTCTCAGAAGGCAGATGGGGTATGAGCAGTTCTTTGTGACCATTCTACCATATCCTGCTTTGAAGAGGATAGAACTCTGCTCAGCAAACCTCATTTTTCTGCAGATGGACCTGGTGCACAGTGGGCTGGAGCACTGCTGGTGATCCTTTGTCCAACATCCTGTCCAGGGAAAAGCAGCCTTTGTTCACTTTTCTGACCAAGCACCAGATTATACCCTCCAACTAAAGATGAACTGGCAACTGTAGTTGTCCTAGAGGTAGGGAGGAAAGAAGGGTAGTGGTGGGAGAGTGAGAGCAGAGGAGAGGCTGGAGGTATGGAGCTCATCTGGCTTTACTTGGATATTGCTCTCCTGGACTCCAAATGGAAAATAGAACTGAACATCCATGATTAAAAAATGCAATACACACTAAGAAAGTCTAAAGTAATTTACACCAGGCATTAAAGTGTTTTGCATGAGAATATAGTATGATGCAGACAACCCAAGAATTATGTGTTTCATTAAAAGGTTTGCAACTCAGTGTGCTGTGATATAACTATAGCAGTTTTTCTGTCTGGGTGATGGTTTTTTATTTTAAACACTGCCTTACAAATCGAGGAATGCAAATGCATCAGGAACACTCAGCCTCTGGGTTTTAACTTATTGTCACCTCTTACTAATCACTTCCTTTTGTACTTTACCTGCTTGTGCCAAGGTGAAAGGTGAACAGTTATACTGCCAATGCCCCTCAACCCCATGTATCCTGAGCCCAGCTATAAAGTAAACTGTCATTTCTTTCTTCATTATTCAAAGTTAGCATTTGCCAGTTCAAAGCCCATTTGAGATTATGCATTAAGAATGATATACATTAAGGTAGGGATTAAAGGAAAATCAGTTACATGAAAGAAAGGTGTTTTGCCACAAATCTTGTGTGTGTATGTCAAGAAGTATATTCATTGCCTAATTTAAAAAGAAACCAGGACAACCCTCCGAGATATATACCTGTGTCTGGCCAGTCTTTTTATAAGGATACTTTTTGTTTGAAGTTGGACTGGGAAGTGAGAGGAAAAACATTTCTCCCTGGCTACTATATGCAGTTTATTGAAAAACAATATATAGGTGTAATTCTGATTTTAGGCACTCATGAAGAGTAAAATCAAAAGTTGATTCATCCTGAACATGCTTAGACAGAGTAAAGAAACTGGACTGGAAGTAAGGCTGACATATTTATGTTTGCTACAAGGAGAGATCAGATGCACGTTCAAATTCCCTTCTAACACAATAATTCCATAATTTTATTGATTATTGCCTAATTATACTCATGATCTTGCTGGCCTGTTTCGAGGGACCATTTGCTGATTTGGTACAAATCTTGGTAATGCCCAATGTGAATCAAAGAACCTACAATGGGCCAGGCACTGAACTAGGTAATTTTCATGAATCATCCCATTTAATCGTAAAATCAGTTCCAAAATTTACAAATTATGAGTTTCTACTGTGTATCATTCTCTTTGTCATGATTTACCACATAAATTAGACTATGGTTTAAATTAGGTAAATAAGAGCTCAGATCTGATGCAATTCTGAATATGAAACTACTTATGATTATATTGTATACAATGCCTAGAATTCTGTGAGCTCACACATAGAAAACAACAAAAAATATTAATGGCTGTATTGTTGCGGGACCGGTTTGCGACAGGCCCAGAGCATGTCATGTATAAATCAAAGGTATGAATATGAATTTACCAAGATTCTGGTTCTCTGGAGATTGTGGCTCCAGAGACTAAGTGTCTTCTGGTCTCTGTGATGGTCCTAATGCCACCCAGGCTCCTGGCAGTATGTCTACCATTTGGGACCAGCTTGATAAATGTGTGCAGGACGAACTTAGGCACACTAACCTCTTTTTTCAGGCCTCCCCTAAAGCACCCCTGAACCCCCTCGTTTCCAAACATTATAGTGGGAAGGTCAGAGGGGAAAGGCCTTTCCATATGTTTCTGGCATCCTCTCTGATCAAGGTTTGATAAGCAAGAGTGTTATCTGACGCCTCCAGAGCAGATGCTCGCAACCGATTTCTGCTTTTAACTCAAAGTCAGGTTTCGCTAAAGGACTTTTGGGGTCCAGGTAGGGGCTGTGTGACCTATAGACTTTGAGCAGAAGCTCTCTCCTATAACTCAGGGAAGGTGCCAAATAGTTCCATGGTTAAAAACTAGTGAAAAAATACCTTGGCCTCATATATAAGCACCCAGCTTCACCACTTCATCATTTCCATCTGGCTTTGCTTTTGTACAACAAAAATATCAAAGTGGAGTTGGCAGGCTCATCCCCAAAATATGCTTTCATTGTCTATATTAGTTCATCTCTATCCAGTCAATAAAGATTTTTTTTTTTTTTTTTTTGCGTAAGAATATCACTGTATTTATTTTCCAACAGGTAATTTTTCTACGGCTTCAACATTTTCTTTCCAATGTTAAAAGAAAAAGTCCCAAAGTTTAGAACTGGATCACTTGGTCCTTTCTCTTCTTATCTCCTCCCAGTTCAAAATGCTTGCATCTCTTAATGGCCAGCATCCTCTTGGACCTGCAGTTAGGCTCAACACATTCCAGCCGGAGCACAATCTTCTTTGTGGTCTTGGCCTTCTTCCGGAAAATTGGCTTTGTCTGCCCACCATAGCCACTCTGCTTCCGATCATAGCGCCTCTTTCCCTGGGCATACAAGGGATCCTTGCCCTTCTTATACTGTGTCACTTTGTGAGGCTGATGCTTGCCACACTTCTTACAGAAGGTTCTTCGGGTTTTAGGTACGTTGACCATCTTTGCAGAAGAGCTGGTCTGTCTGTGTGATGAAAACCAGAAACAGCGTCCAAGACACTTGCCTCGCACAGCTCTCGCCTCGCGAGAAAGGGCAATAAAGAATATTTTATTGTGGATAATGTACTTGTTTCATGGAAAGAACTAACTTAACAACTGTACCTAGCTCTGAATAAATCCAATGGGTTTAATAATCAAGGAGAAACCAAATACTTATTAAGTCCCTTAATTTAGACTGGTTGTTTTATTTAATACAACCCTGTTTCCAGCTATCTGTTTTACTCGTGAAGAAACTGAGGCTCAGAAAATTGAACAATGAGCTCATGATAACAGGGTGAATTAGTGGAGCTAGTGACTAAGTTAGGAATTGCACTTCAGTTCTTTTGAGAAGGGAGCCTGAGCTTTTTCTACTAGACTTAAAGACCTTCATCAGCTCAATAGACACAGAATCACTGAATCAGAATTCTGCCTATGTATCCTGACATGGTGCAGGTTACTCAGGGCCGCCCTCTGTTCCAAGGAGGACACAGGAGGCACACCTTCCTCAGAACTGATATCCGCCTTCGTGTAATGCACACTGGGAAGCGGCCGCTGGGTATGCTAGAGGTGTTGCGAAGGACTGGGGGAGGCATCACGGGCCACCTTAGCACCCTGAGGAGCCCAGATGGCTGTTGTCAGTCATGTTTCCAACCAAAACAATGTCAGGTGGCCTTTGAGGCTCTGGATAGAGATGACTTTGTCAACCCAACTGAGAGCACAGTGGGCTGAGCAGCATTTTGCAGCAGCAGCACCAGCCTGCAATCAAGGATTCCCATTTTTATCAATGAATTCTTCCTTAATCACCTAAAAAGTATACAAAATTATAGATCTAAATCATGGGGCTGGATATGATTTTAAGGTCATCTATCATATATACTACTATCTTTACATGAAGATAAGTGTCTATATCATTTAAATGAGCTTGCTTGCACGTGTTTGTTAAGCAGTCCACTCTCTTCTTTGTGGAACGAAGTTAATGGGTGAAATGAAAAGTATCAGCATGCTTCTCTATTCTGCTGGCATAAATGTTTAATCAGCTTGGCTGAGGAGGTGAGTGCCTATTTCCCTGATTGATTTAAAATACCATGAGGTTAATGTATACAAAGCTGAACTACTGCATTTGATTGGGGGAAGAGTGCTTAGTTATCACTTTTGTTAATTGTTTTCCATGGACAATCCATAAGATAGGGCAGCAGGCATGAGTTTCTTTTCAGACATAAAAGAAACAACAGCACAGAGAGGTAGAGCATCTATCTCAGAGTACACAGGAGGTGAATTCTAACACAGGTTCCAAGTTTCCAGCCAGAGCAATCTTGTTTAAATAACCAACAAAATGCCAGTGGGCAGAGACATCAATATTGTATCAGGACAAAAAGCATTCTGAGAAATCATGCCTATTCCCAGACAAATTACTGAAGTTATTGTTTGGAGCAAAACATAAAAATCTGTGCTATGCGAACCATTTCTTAGTTTTCTCTTTTAATGGCATTTTGATGAAAGTTTTTGCCTGTGAAAAATATTATTTAACTTTGGTAGCTACAGATACGTGTTTTTTCTTTTGTTGTGAACATTTCTTAAGCATCTTTCCATATGGCACCTTACTTAATTTCTACTCACAGCTTCCTCACAAGAAATGGAAAGGAAGCACAGGGGATTGAGGGTCTTGGCTGAAGCCCTTGGTCAGCAAGTGGTAGAGCAAGCATTGAGATGGCAGCTTCTAACCTAAGCCTGTGCTCATCCCAGCACTCTGCCTAGAACCTATTCAGTTCGGCTTCTTAGAGGGCTCTCTACTCACACACTTTGGAAAGTTCTTCACAGAGAACGTGAACGCTCAAACTGGACTCACAGAACTTCCTAGAAGCCCCACTCTGGCCCAAGATTGAGCCACAATGAAATGATCACTTCTGTATTGGATGATCTCACTGATCAATTTTCTTTCCATTCCCTCATTTGGCGCAGCCTTCTCCTACCTCCAGGGTCATTTGAACTCCATAACTACCACCAACAGATCTTACCACCCTGGAATCTCAGTTCTGGCCTGCTGACTTTTAAGATTCATATATTTTCTAACTTTATCCATCCTCAAAACCTTCTCTCCTCGGGATCTTGTTTTCTAATGATAAATAAGTAATGAGCCTTATAATCCAAGACTCACTGACAGTGGCATTGCAGAAATTCCCTATCCACAGGCATGACTATTAGAGTGGAAATTTCAGACACATCGACAGAGGAGTAGAGAAATCTTCAAGGAGGATTGAGGATCTTATACCCCAGCAACCACTCTGTCCTCCTGGATAGAATGCGGCTTGCCCTAGACCAACTACAAATGCGTCTCATGTCTTTATGTCAGATTCATCAAATGTTAGATCAGGAAGTCATTTGGATGATACATTTCTGGTTATAAATAACAAAAACTGACTCAAGCTAGCTTAAGGGAAAAATTAATAATCTAAATATATAGAAGTGAGAAATCAAGGAGAACCCAAGGGAAATCTGAACAAGCAGATCTCAAGAATATGATGATGAACAGGGGCCACTCTGAGGACACATGAGTAAGATTCCAAAAAACTTTCTCTTGTTAATGTGACTTGGTTCCTGTCTTATTCTGTCTGAGCTGCTTTACCAAAATGCCTTAGGCTGGGTAATTTATAAATAACATAAATTTATCTCTTGCAGTTTTGGAGGCTGGGAAGACTGAGATCAAGATGACAACAGATATGATATCCAGTGAGGGCCTATTCCTCATGGATGGCATCTTCTTGCTGTGACCTTAGATGGTGGAAGGGGCAAGCAGGCTCCCTCAAGCCTCTTTTATAAGGGCACTAATCCCACTCATGAAGGTGGAGACCTCACGGCCTAATCACCTCCTCTTAATACTATTGCATTGGGGATTTAGATTTGAGCAGTGAATTTTGGAGGGACACTTACATTCAGAGCATAGCAGTTCCCAGTACCCAGATATCATGGCTGATTCTGACCAAAGCTTTGAGAGAAAGAGCCAAACTAAGCTAGACTAAGTTAGGTGGCCACTTTGATCGAGTCAGCTCTAGCCTGTGGGACAGGATCATGAGGTTCAAACACAGTGTGGGGAAGGGGAGGGGAGAGTGTTCAGAGAAGAATGTCTGTTATGTGAGGCCATAGTGACTACCTAAGAGTTAACACTCCTCATTTTATGGAAGAGGAACCAGGGGCCCAGAAGAGTCAAGTGATTGCCTCAAGGTCAAACAGCTGCTAGTAGAAAAGCTGGACTGAAATACAGCCCCTTTCTGCTTCCTGAGACAGAGGTCTTTGATCTGTCCTTATGTTCCTATTTCTTGCATGTTTTATGACCTCAGTCTACCTTTCCTCTCACCTGCCATCCCCACTGCAGACACAGTAGTCTTCAAAAAGCCCAAATCTGACCATGACACTGCTCTGCAAATTAGCCATCTGTCACTTCTAGTCCAGATTCCTTAGCACTGTAGGCAAAGCCCTTTTAACCCTGACTCATAGAGTGTAGGAGTCTGCTAGAGCTGCCATGACAAAATACCCCCAGAACGGGTGACTTCAGTGACAGAAATGTAGTTCTCACAGTTCTGGAGGCTAAGAAGCCCAAGAGAAAGGTGCCAGTAAGATAGGTTTCATGCTGAGAGACCTCTCCTCTTGACTTGTAGGTGGCTACCATCGTGGTGTATACTCACCTGGCCTCTTCTCTCACCAGAGATCTCTGGTGTCCCTTTCTCTTCTTACAACAGTACTCTTATTGGATGAGGACCCCACTCTTACGACCTCATTTAATCTTAACTATCTCCTTAATGACCCTGTCTCCAGATATAGTCACCCTGGGAATTGGGGGTTCAACATGTGAATTGGTGAGGTGAGGGGATGCGACTTAGTCTACAACATAGAGCTTTTCCTATTCTTCAATACAGCCTCTCTCTTCCATTTCCTTTATACTTGGCTACTCAGCCAACCTCGCCCCAACCGCATAAGTCATGCTCTTTTAAGTTCCCTCTGCTTGTGCTTCAAGTCTTAACTCAATGACTGTTACGCCATGGAGCCTCATGGGTGGTCACACTCTGGTCAGATGTTCTCCATGTGCTCCTTTAGCACTGTCATGCATGTGTGTCACATGTGCGCCCTGTGCAGGGATCACATGTGTACATTACTGCATTTGCCACACTCTATTTCAATGAATTTATTTATGCATTTGTTTCTCCAATCAGAATGTGAACTCCTGGAAGGCAGAAACTTTCTCATTGGCTTTAATCTTCTCTCTCTATTGCCTACGCAGCTTTTGACACACAGCAGGTATTCGAAAGTACAGCTAGTGCTCGACTTAGGACCACGCTCAGGACCGCGGACTGGTCATAACACGATTTGGTCATAAGTTGAGTAGGCTATATGTACAGTTGAAATGGTGCACGCAGAGATGGTAGTGCTGCCAGAAGCTGGTCTGCACTGTCATATGCCCAGCTGGGCAACGTTTGCACTGCCAGATGCGGAGCAGTCTTGGCTAGCAATTGTGGTCGTAAAGTCGAATGGTCGTTAAGTTGCATAGGTCGTAAGTCGATCAATACCTGTAAGTGCTGGTTGAATAGACAGGAAGCATGTTATGGAAAGGAAAGACTGGTTACCATATCTTTTGTCTCTATTTCATCACCATTTATTTCAGGGAAACTTTTTTCATGAACAATGGAGATACATGTGTATCAGAAATTGAAGGGTAAAATGTAGAATTTAGACTACTTTTCTAAAGTGATAAGGAAAGCAGAACTTTGCTTACTAACAACGAGGGGGAGACTCACCTTGGATTACAAGATTTTTTCACAGTGGATCCCTGATGCATAAACAAGGGATGGATTCATCATATTCTTTCATGTTGTGCTCTAATATTGCTAATGGGCTATGCAGCAACTGCAGTGGGAGGCCCCATGAAACACACCAGTAGACAGATGCTAAACAAACATGATAAAATACAAGAGCAGCACACCATAAGACTCATTTTTCCATTCATTTTGACAAGGGTAATGTAGTTTTAATTACTAATGATAATACATATAT